TGTAGGCAAAGACATTAACATAGCATGTATGTATCTCAAATTGATGAAACTAGAATGCATTTATATTTTCTAACACATGTGGGCTACACAAAAAATAACAAAGCCATTCTATCCTACCCTAATTAAGTATGAAATTATGAGATATCTACCTATAAACAAAGATGAATCATAATTACACATTTAATTACAATTGATATTTTAAATCTATATGTGATTAATTAGTATATGCAACAAAATTAAAGATGCTATGGTTACTCTTTAGAAAAATACGGGCACGATTTCTCTCCACTAAGGTTCCGGTCCCCTGTGCCTCCACTTCAGCTCTACGACAATCGTTTGGAGCAAATGGTAAAACGCAATTCAAATGGATTGTGGTGGGTGACTATAAACTTGAATTTCAAGATTACATAGAAGCAAGAGTAAAAATATATTTTCATCCAAAACAAAATTCATTCATAAATAATCAGATGTTACTATTTTACACAATAAAATTATCCTTTTTTCAAGAAATAAAATAGGATTAGGAAAGTAGTTTATATAAAATAAAATAGTATATTCATATTAAAACTTTAATAATGTAATATATAAATATGACAAAAACTTTCTCACTTTACTTTGTAAATAGGATTAGAGAAGTAATTTATATGGTATTTTAAAAAGGATAATTTTATTTCTCCAAAAAAGGGTAATTTTGTGTGTAAAATAGTAACATTTGAACATTTGATTATTTATAAATAAATTTTATTTTGGATGCAAATATATTTTTGCTGATGATATTTTGTGCCCCCCACATATATATCCATATCATCCCATAAAAGCATGTGCTTCGCCTCTTTTTTTTTTTTTTTTTTTGCCAAGTGAAAACCAAATCATAATTTTAAAAGTACTTTTACAGTATAAAAAATAAATATATAAAAGAGTTTAGCTCGTTTTAAAAAAAAATGCTTTTTAAAAATATTGTTAAGTATTCCCAAATACTCTCAAATTGTACTCCGCCTCTTAGCTCTCTGTAATTTTGGAATTTAACTTTATGGCCGCCCACGACAATCCCTTTGAATTGTTTTTACCATTTGCTCCAGACAATTGCTGTAAGGACGAAGTGGATGTGTAGTGGAGGGGAACCTCAGTGGAGAGAAATTGCGTCCAGTAAATACATGCTAATCACAAATATTATTAATGTGCATTTAAATTCCAAAGATGCACAACTTAATAGAGAATTTAACAAATTAATTTAATCAACAAAAGTGACCAAACAACTTAATTTAAATTCTCCCACTATTTCATGTACCCAAAATTGTTTAATAAATTAATTTCAATGCATTTCAACTCAAAAGAGTTTTACAAAATTTAAATAGTTAATTTAATTGCCCAAATTCATTAGCCAAAATAGATAATTAAATAGCAAATCAAATTAAATTTTGTAAACATTTTCCAAATCTCTAAATGTTGAAGAAATTAATTTTCCTCAATTTAAATAGCTATAGTGCATAAAACAACATTCAAAGAAACATATTACAAAACAAAATTAAATTATATGAAGTAAATTATTTTGTGCAAATATCTTTTGAAAAATCAAGTTAAATGGCCCAAAATAATTTTCTAAAAATAAAACTGAATGACCCATACTTAAAAAATCTAAACAGAGCCCAAAATAAGCATTCTAGAAAGAAAACAAAACTGTGTAGGTACAAAACGAAAGTCTAAAAATCGAGTTCGAGCCTCAACGTATGCAGAAATTCCTGTTGGGAGATTCACCCACCACAGCCAAGTGCGCGACGCGGATTTGATCCACATATAGTCAGAGCAAAGTTTCGATGAACTGGGTGGGCAACAAAAAAAAACGAAAGTCTAAAAAGTAAACAGAGACCAAAAATTAAGTTCTATACAAAAAGGGGCCAAAAGGCCCAAACACGTCCATAGTGTCACTGTGCAATTTTTTTCCTTGAACATGCGTGGCCTAAATAGAGGAGGCCCATTCTGGAAAATCAAATAGAAAAGCCAGAAACAAAATTGTACAACCCAATCAAAACAAATTAAAACAAAATAAATTAATTTAATTTTGAAAACCAAACAGAGAGCCCAAAAAAATCCAGAAATAAAGTCCAAAGACTTTGCCCACTTCACTAGAAATGAAACAGGAAGAAAAATATAAAACAAAATGCAGAAGCCTAAATGATGTTTGGCCCAGTTTGCAAACAAAAAAGAAAACAAAAAACACATTAGAAACCCAAAATCAGGGCCCAAAACGTGTCAGCCCACCACTCCTAAAGCAGTGAGACTGTGCGTGTCACTAATGGGCTGAACACCTTGTTTTTTCTGGTTTTGGGCCTTTTTTTTAAAGGATCCGAGTTAACCTAACTCGAATCCTGACCCGTTTACGTAGTGCTCATAGCCGTCGTCACTACAAATTTTTTAGCCATGAATTCTGGTGAACCAGACGGGCTTTCTCGCCAACCAAACACTATTTCAGGCGATTTCCATGGCGTTTGACGGCGGATTCAACAGCTCTATGCCTAGAAACAATGATAAACAAAATTTCAAAAAATAGCAATAGGCTATATCTCAAATTTCAGCAACGGGACAACCATGATGATTTTTCAGGAATGGTGGAAGCTAATTCATTTATCATCTAAAAGTTTGAAAATTTCCCAGATTAATCAACCTCTCATTGCCATGAAACTAAAACAAATAAAAATCATAACTGGACCTCTCTGAATTTATCAGAAAATCATGAAAAAAGTATTCAGATAAAAAATAAATTAAACAAATCAAAAGAGATGTTCTCAAAATGATCAAAATAATTTTGAAAGTAGAAAATTAAACAAATTCAAATGAGCATCATAAAAGAGGAAAGCAAGATGAATTAGGAAACCAGGGTCTGATATCACGTGTAAGCAAAACGACACATGTATATATATTATCCATACAAATTCAAAGCATATACATGTATAAAGTATTCAAAGACTTTAAATATTTCTCGCCATTAGCTCAATTGATTTGATGAAAAATTTGATATGAATGATAGAGAGCTATAAATCCAAAAACACCGTTAGAGAAAATGATACAGAAAATCTTCCAATTGGTGATTGGGCACAATGGGGAACCCTTAGAGAGTGAGTAAAGAAAATACAATTAGGGTTTTGCTGTAGACTCAATATACGATATATTATTTTTCACAATCAGAAAATAAATTTAATTGACTGAGTCAAATACCCACCTTGGATTGGGCTCAAAATGACTACGGCCCATACTCAAGATATTTATTAATTAACCTAATTAATATCTAAATAGTTATCATATAATAAATATCTCACATGTTAGAGATAGATAGCACAAATTTAATAAGAGTTAATCTTCAAGCTTAAGAAAGTAGCTTGGATTTCCAAGAAGTAGTTTTCCTATCTGTTGCATCTAAAACTTGCTTATGGATTGGAGATTTGTCCCCACCCAAATCAATGAACATGTGCCAATATATCTCCCAAAGCATTTTAAGAAGCCAATATTAAATTTCCTCTATAATTCATACTTAATGTCATCTAGAACATTAGGAGAAATAAAGATAGAAAATTTTTCCCCATTGATTTCTTGTCTAGAATAATGGTAGAAAGTTTTGAGAGTTTTAGCCACCTTAGTAATGCTGGATTTATTACATTAAAAAAAGATAGTAGATTCATCAGCATATAACAAGTGGCTAACAAGAAAGACATCCTTGCAAACTTTAATTCCATGAAGAGAACAATGCACCTCAATGTCAGGGGTAAACAATAGAGAATATTTGCTGTTAAAATATTGCCTCCGGTCCTTAATACTACCTTCGGTCATAATTATAAGATTTCATTTATAGTTTACGAATGATGTCTTATAATTAAGACCGTAGGTAGTATAAAAGCTTGTTTGACTTTAAATTTGGTCTTAAATATAAGAATCTAATCAACTTTATTTTTTGTATTTATCAATTTTTTTGCAAAGCAGTCTTTCTAGTAGTTGCACATATTAAATATTTCATCAAATGATAGTTTTAGCTCATACACATGATTAGTAAAAGTATTTTAGGAATGACAATACTTATTTATTACAAATAACTAATTTAAATAATTTTCTTAATCTCTCTAAATTAGTTACATAGGTCTTATATTAAGGATTGGGGGTAATAAATACATAAGGCAAAAAGGGTATCCTTGTCTAATGTCATTAGATGAAAAAATTGGCTGGGTAAGTGTGCAATTAACCAAGATGTTGTCTTGATCAACATTAGAGACACACGGCTTGGATCCATTCTGGGGAAAGCGCATGCTAATTAAGATTGCTTTAAGAAAAGTTCAAGAAAGTCTATCAAAAGTCTTTGAAAAATTCAATTTCAAAGCAGCAATTTTTTTCCTTTCTTTTCTAGCATTGTGAATCTAATGAACAAGGTCTGTCACCAGCAAGATGTTGTCAAAGATTAACCGACCCTTAAGGAAAGCACTTTCAAAGGGAAAGATTAGTTTTTTTTTTTTTTTAACCAAATGAGATGCAATGAGAATTGCATTACTCTCTCATTTGTTAATATAAAAACTATTTAATCAATTTGTATAAATTAAGTAAGTTGAGCAAATGGATTAGTTAATTATAGCAAACGTGACATGATATCTCTAAAATATTCATGTATAACATTGAACTATATCAATTTATGAGTTATGTACTACCTCCTGTCTTAATTATAAGACCTCATTTGTAGTCTACAGACAAGGTCTTATAATTAGGATTGGGGTAGTACTTTAGTTTGGGCAACATGATAAATGTAAGAAATAAAATGAATAAAAGTATAATATTTAGGGTCAAGATCCTATTCCATATAGCTCTTATCTTAGGAATTAGAGGTAGTATATCCTCTTTTTCCTTTTCAGGCATCAACAAGTTTCTCACATCAGTAGTGGGATTTGAACTTACAGCTTTTTGGGTTATTAGCGGATTTCTTACCAACTAAATCAATTCTTATTAGTATATGTAGTTACATTTTATTATAGCTTCGGGCATTATATGTATAAATAAATAAAATAAAATTGGAGAATTACCATGAGTAAAGCTTTGATGTGATCCAAAGTGAGATGAAATGAAAACCATCTCTGCTTCTTGAGGTGAAGCAAGACATCAATAATATTTTCTTCTTGTGGCTTATGCCTTTGAGGATCAAGATGATCATCAATGACCTTTTTATAAAATGCATCTAACTCCTTGTAATTCTTCTCAAGCCGACTAGTCAATCCTCTGAGGCTATCTATCCACCCAGTGAAATGAATATAATCTGACAAGAAGAAGCTGCCCATCATGGCTTGCAACTCGTTAAGCATCCCATGGAACCTTGAATAGGATCATCAACAAATTAATCTTTAGAAACTACTTTGGCAACACATATGCTTAAGGACATGACACATATATATTATCTTTGTCCCTAATATAAAATACAGTTGACTAATAATTTGGGGGAGATATAATGAAGCTAAATAAATGACTTAATTTATCATATGTTACATGTTTTCTCTTTAATATTTATATGTATCATTAGATTATATATTATTTTATAAGTCAAACAAATTAGTTTAAATAAAAGTGATAATATAAATAGTTTAAAGTAATTTATTTAGATCCCTTAATCTCTCCTAATTAGTTAATTATGTCTTCTATTGGGACCGATATAGCAGATATAAATATAGTCTCCAACATTTAATCATAACCCATGGTTCCATTTGCTACGAGGTATTAAAAATTAGGGGGAAGGATTGAAGTTATGATTAAAAAAATCTATTAAAAAACTGTTTCGTATGAAAAATTACTTATTACATAAAATTCAATAAATATATGTAGGTGGGATTGGGGAATACTATGGGAAGAAGTGGCATTCTCCGATCCTACCTTCATGGATTTGCCTTGTTTTTTTTTTTTTTTCTCAATCTCAATTATAATTTTTACTTCTTATTCTCAATGCTTCATACTTCATATCACACGAGATGTGCTGTCCATGTGAATCCCACTTTTAATTCACTAAAATTAGTTTGAGGGCGAACCTCCCTTGATTAAATGGAAGAGAGAATATACATTATATTCGAAATTTATCAGGTGGTGTAGATCTAATTTGGCCTCCACACAAAAGAAAATCTAATTTAGTGATTTTATGAGCCCACAAATTAAAGTTAGTGCTAGGTGCTAACCATATGCATAATAGTTAATAATTATTAGGTCTAACAAAAAGTAAAGTCGAGAATCTGGATTGGGTCCCATGAGCCAGCTCACCAACCCGCCATAAAAAAGGAGTTAGGGTTGGCCCCCTAACCCACCACTTTTTTTCAAAAAAAAAAATTCACATAAATAATATGTTATTATATTTAAAAATTTTCTTTCCTCATTTACATTTCAATTTTCATGTGTCATGTCTAAACAAAAAATATTTTTAAAAAATAAGCATACTATATTTATAACAAAAATTTAACAACTACAATAAAATATAAGATAATATTTATTATGGAAAAAAGTGTTTTAGAAAAACATGGTGAATGGACTTTTAAAAAAATTAGATAAACACATTTCTAATTTGTTAAGAGATAGTTTTTGATATCAAACATGGTATTTGTGTGAAGAAGTTGTTATCACTTGATGAGTTGATGTTGAATGTTAATCATGTAAAATATTTGTAATGTATTGTTTTATATTTGTATTTACTATTTTAAGTTTGGTTAAATATAATTTATACTTGTGATTGCTTTTAAAATTTTGAATAATCATTTATTAATTTATAATATAAATGTTTAAAAATTGAGAATCAAAAAACAAAAAAGATGGCACCGCCAACCTACTATGGTGGGTTACGGTTGGCATTTTTCTAGCTTGCATTTTTACAGGCTACTCCAACCCGCACCGCATAACCCTCAAGTTGTGGCGGGCTGTATAACACCCCGAATTTTATGATTTAAGATGAGCAGAAAAAAGAGAAATTCATTAAAATTATTTATTTGCAAAATAAAGTGGGGAAAATTATGGAATATTGATTTTTAAGATTTAGAGACATATTGGAAAAGGTATTTCCCCAAAAATAGCTTAAATATTTTTAATAGATAATTTTAAGAGAAAATTGGTTTATTTTCTCTGAAAATTATGGAAAAATACTTAGAGATTTATGTTTAATCTGAAAATTTTAGGATGATCATTTGAGATAGTGAAGAAGATATTTGAGGCATAAAATCCTTAAAATGGGTTAAGGATTAATTTCTGGAATTAAGAGTTATTTTCTTGGAAAATTTCAGAAAAATAGGAGTAGGATAAAATTTGAGGAATAAATATGATAGAGGGGCAAACTGGTCCAGGAATCTCCCGCACCTCACACGTGTGCCTCGCCCTTTTAACCATCAGATCACTTATCCACCTCCTTCATTTCATTCTGCATCGAAAACCAGAGGAAAAATAGAGAGAGAGTGACCGAGAGTGAGAGTAGGGAGAGAGCCAGAGATCGTCGAAGCTAGAGGAGTGACCGGATGTGGTGAAGCTTACATGCAATTGTAATTTTCGGCTAAGGTGAGCATTCTGAACACCCTCCTACCCTTCTTTTCTCCATTCTCTGTGAGATTGAAGAGTTGATGGGAAAATGAAATTTCTGGGTTATGAAGAAATGGGGGAAAACAAATGAAATAACGATGGAACAAGCAGATTAAAGCTTGTGTAAGTGAGTTTAAGTCTTGTATGTTGGTTTGAAGACTACATGTCAGTCTGAAAATTTCATGCGTGTCTTTCGGTCTGAAGGTTTCCCTCTTCGTCTCTGTTTATGATTACTGAAACAGGGGTTAAGTTTTGAAGCCTTGGACGTCGGGTTTTAATGGAAAAGAAGGGAAATAATGTGATTTGCCATTGCATGTCGGTTTTGGGGTGTTAGCCACTGGTTTAGCGTGAAGTTTTTACTGTTGAATGTATGGAAAATTGATCTGTTTTTGTTGACCGAAACAGGGGCTAATGATTTAAGTGAATGTCTGGTTTTGGGGTGTGAAATGATAAAGGAATGAGGCCTGTGTGTGCTTTCTCGGATTGCATGTTGTCTAACTTCATCGCATGCAAAGTTTCGAAGTCATGACTCCTTGCTTTGGTGAGTAAGCCATCGGGTTCAATGGAAAAGCAAGGTTGAGGATATATAAATGTATGTGAATGCTATTACATGTTCTTTGGGTTCTGTTATCCGATGACTTTTGGAGATAAATATGTAGATGTATATGCATAAGTCGAATAAGGCCTACTCATCTATCCGGTGTTGACCGTGCTGTTAGAAGAATTTTAGTAGGAATTGTTGATTGACCTTTTTGTGTGCAAGGGAGAATCAAAGGTGTGTGTGTGTGTGTGTTTGCGCGTTGCTGTCAAAGCTGGCCGAATGGGGTGAAAAAAAAAATGAAATAAGGAGTTTGCATTAAATATGGTTGGGCTTCTAGTTCTTGATTTATGTAATCATGGGTTTTAGCACCACGAATTACTGTGTGTATATATATATATAAGCGACTAATTATGTGTATAGTTGCTGGAAATGAGTCAAGTGAACTAAATTGTTGAAGAAGGAAAATGAGGTAGGACCAAAGAAGTTATTGATGTGATATTGAAAAGGATTCTTTGATAGTGAAGGTTTAATTATTAAAAATGGAATTTCCATTGGATATATTTTATATATATGAGCCGTGAGTTTTAATTTTAAGGAATTGATATAATTGTTTAAAGAAATGGACTAGTAGTTATAGAATGAAAACAGTGGGAAGTTTTAGAGACTTAATGATTAAGATTAGAATTAAAGTTGCAGCTGTTTTGGGGATCAAAGAATTTAAACTAGGAAATTGATTTGAAAATTATTGCTTGAGGTTTGCTAGTGGTGGATGGAGATTTTAAATGGATAAGTTAATAGTTATGATGTTTGGAAATTATTTAAAGGTTTGTATTTGAAAAATTCTCAATGGTAAAGTTAGTGACTAAGATAACCAGTTACTAAGTAAAGTAACTGTTTGGGTTGAGATAAGGAAGGAAACATTCCAAAGAGAATAGTTTGAATAAGAAAAATTGTCCAGGATGATCCATTGCTATGTAAGGGTAGAGATTAAAGAATACTTGGGATTTAAAGAGTTATTTAATTTATAAATTATGTTGGATCAAGCATTAACCTACCCTTACTAAAATAATAGGTTTTGATATCTGCAAAAGCCCACCGAAGAAGCTAAGAGAAAGGAAACAAGTAAGGTTTGATTTTGAAGCAGAAGGTTCAAGTAGTAGTTCTTTCCTACCTTACACTTGTGTATGATTGCTGCATGTCTGTTTGTGCCATATTGCTTTTCTAAAGCATGAGAACATGTAATCCTTATTTCCTTGCATGGATTATTTAGCCGTGATCACGTGTAGCTGATAGACATGGGGCAGTGATTGCCAATTATTTGCGCATTATTTATTCAGCTTGTCTATCTGTCATTGCGCATAAATGCTTAATTGCATTAGCTTGCAAGGTTATGTTCCACTTTGGCTTGTTTTGCATGCTTTATGTGATCTGCACATTTGTTTGATGGAAATTACTACTATGGGGATTCGTTCGAATCTCACCCTCCAATTTATGATGAACAGTGAAAGCTAGTAGCCCGAAGGACAAGGAGGTTGTTTAAGAAGAAGGTGGGCTGGTTGAAGAGCAGAGATACCTGTTATAATTCTGTAAATTGTATAGCAAAATATATGGGCAAGTAACTTTACTTGCTCTATGAAAATATTATTTTGTATCCTCTAGAAGAAGGAAGTGAGCATTGCCAGGTGCATGTATATGCTTTATTTTTTAATATAATATTATAAGATTGTATAGTATGAAATTATTTTAGGTGATAATAGATTAAGTTGAAAACAGGGTTGATATTGGATCATTCATTAGTTATCTGAAGGTTTGAAATATTTGATCAACGGATTCCAATGTTAAAGGAAAAAAAAAAATTCCCTGTCTTTTCCCAGGATGGAAACCTGGTGTTAGTGATTCACAGGCGTTAAAATGATCCTATTAGTATATAAAAGTGAGGTGTTGCAGGCTGGCCTGTATTCTAAGCTATAGCGAAAGGGGTAGTGTTCTACAATGTGATGAATCAAGGTTCAAATACCCACTAAGAGAGATATCTATATTTAGTACCCGACAGTGTCTCGAGTAGGATTACCCCAATAGGAGAATAAATGTGTCTTAAGGGGGGGAAAACTATAGTTGAATTCCTGGTTTCCTATGAATTAGTTGTTAGAATTGCTTTAGTAATAATTAATTAATTATAGAAGCAATGTGATAGTGTCCACCCTTTTTGTTCTTTTGCATAATTGAACCCCTATTTACCACCCCATTACCACCCCTAGGGCCCATGATATAGGGAAAATGATACAAATGACACTTAAATTTAGAAATCCACATTTGGTTACTTAAATAATGAAAATTCCCGTTTGAGTACACATGACCAAATTGGGATTTTGAAATTTACTAAAAACACCAAATTGCCCTTTATTATTATTTTTTTTTGGTTACTTCCCTTTATTTTATTTTTTTTAGAAAAAAACCATCAAGTACTCTCACCGACTAGCCGGTTGCTAGAGCTCCAGTACCAATGGCCACCACCAGCGATCAATAGCTTTGATGACCAACAACTATTTTTTTAGGATTTTTCAATTCCAGTAATGTGATTAACAAGTTCTTTAATTCGATTAACAAGTTTGTTATAACATTTAACAACAAGTTTTTCAAAGAATTAAAAAATTGGCATTTTTACAACTTCAATAATGTAGTTAACAAGTCATGTAGTAATATTTACAACTCCTATAATGCCATTAACAAAATTTCCTATGAAGGTTGATGTTTTTAATATTAGCTTCCTATAAAGATTGCAAGACAAAAAATTTTCATTTATTAGGCAACCACTATGGTTATTAGAGTTGTTAATGATACTATAAGAAATGTTAATATCGTTACATGACTTGTTAACCACATTACTCATGTTGTAAAAGTGTCATTTTTTGAATTTTTTTTATTTTAAAATTGTTAACTTTTATATTAAACTTATTAATAGTGTTAAAAAACTTGGTAGCTGAGTTACTAAAGTTGTAAAAATGCCAATTTTTTTTTTATTTTCTAGAAAACCTGTTGTTAAATACTATAATGAATTTGTTAATGACATTAAAAAACTTGTTAATCACATTACTAAACTTAAAAAATTTCAAAAAAACATTGTTGCTAATCAGCGGAGCTCTAGTAACCAGTCGTTAACCAGCCAACAAAGGTCAAGCGACCAACGATCCCCTTGAACTTTGAGGGTGGCTGTCGACACCGAAGCTCCGATGATCAACTGTTTGGTAAGGGTGCTTGATGGTTTTTTAAAAAAAAAATTAAAGGGCAATTTGATCTTTTCAGTAAATTTCAAATTTTCAATTTATTGATTTGTGCTCAAAAGGGGAGGTTTTTTTTTATTTTATTTGAGTGACTAAATGGAGATTTTCACATTTAAGTGTCATTTTTCTCATGATATATTAATTTTTTGCTTAAGATATATATAACCGCTTAAACTTTGTCATGTATAAATAATATGAAAGAAAAAACCAGACCGGACCGGCTGGTTCAACCGGAAAACCAATAAACTGGTCTAGTGTCCGATCTGGTTTATTAGATGAACCGAGAAATGTTTAAACTGGTATTGAACCACTTAAATTGGTCAAAACCAGTGTTAAATCGGGTAAACTGTCGGCTAGAATGGGTCAGTCAGTTTAGTGATTTGACCCCCCCACTCTGTCATTAAGGGGGAAAAAAGCCCCAATATGGCTGATCTCTGATATGATTTGGACTCTAGAGAAAGAAATGAAAAGAAGAAAGAAATTCCAAATATGCCTATCCACTGATTCTAAGCTCTGTCTTACAATCAAACTTTGCTTTCGCGCTTTGTTTCTTGCTCCATCACCGTTATTCTTAATACATGGCTATCTTCATCTCAGTGTTCATCTCCCAAGATGCAGCACGTGTTGTTGGAAGGAAAGGAGAAAGAAAGGGGAGAAGAAAGAGACTCTTCCAATTGAAAGTAAGGAGGAAGAGAGGAGAGAGAGGAGCCTCACGCTAAGGAAACATTAAAAAGTCTACAAAGGTCTAGAGAGATGTGAGAGAAATGAAAGCCAATTAGTCAAATGATTTGATGGATGAGTGTGGAAGGAGGAAAGAATGGAGGAAAAGGAAAAGGCTTTCACGTGCTTATGCAGGAGATAAGGAGAGAGAATGAGAAATAAAAGTAAAAACATAAGCCTAATAAGAAAAGAAAAATAAAGCTACAAGGTAACACTTAATCGGCTATGAATTTATAAAAAAGAGAGAGAATAAAAAAAAAAGAAAATTAATAATTAGAATAAGAATTTTTTAACATATTTTAATTATTACCAGTTTAACCCGGTCTAATCTCGATTTGACCCATTAACCCTTAAACCAATACATCAATCGGTTTATTGACCGGTCCGGTTTTTTGTTCCTTGATAAATAATCTCTCTAGTTTGTAAAACGCTATAATGAACACTCTCAAACTTTTATAGTTATGTAGATATACAACTCCTTTTATTACTAATTTTGTTTGTTAATTATATCCACACACACATACACACATATATATAGCTCAAAGTTTAGAGTGTTATCTAAATATAACTTATGGTTTACGGGGATATGTTAACAGCAAGCTGCTGCTCCAGTGGTAGCACCACCATCATGTTTGAGTGAGGTTCGAAACTCAAATATGACATTAATATACTTGTATACATGTGTGTTTAAATTGTATTAAACAAAAAAAAAAGGAGAATTATATGCAAAATATATATATACATATATATTCAAGAGATATATGAATGACGGTTGATGGTTATTCGTGCCTGAAAATTTATGGGGTTGATTTATTAAGTTTTAAAAATTAAGAAAGTTATTTATGCATAGTCTAAAATTCCGAAGAATTTAGTTTAATTCAACATTTTTTCCTTAAAAAAGTATATGAAGTTTTGATGGGTACACATATATTTGTGTCTGAAAAGTCAGCTTGGATTTAAGATAGCATTCTAAATGATTAAACTGAAAAAGGAAAAAAAATCAAATCCAAGCAAGTCATCAAATAAGGAACCTTATCTTAAAGGAAAATAAAGACAAACCTGCTCCTTTCAACTCCTTCCTCCTCGTAGCTTCTCCCAAAAGCAGCCCTGCAAATCAGGGTACTTGTAACAGACATCAAAAGCTCATTCAAGTTCGTGACCTTAGATGAATCTGCATGTTTTGAGATCTTCTGAATCAATCGTCGAACCTCGTAGTGTCTTATAGACGAGAAACTTGAAACCCTTCTGGCACTAAATATATGAACTACACAGATTTTTCTGATCTCTTTCCAATAATCTCCGTAACAAGAGAAAATCAACTCTATCCCATTGTAAGATAGTTTTTGCTGGCTGAACAAAGAAGGTCTATCAGAGAACTCAACATCGTGGTCCTTTAGTGTTTCTTTTGCCATTTTAGGGGATGAAACAACAAGCACAGTTCTGTGGCCTAGTTTCAGAGAAAACAAGGGTCCATATTTCTTTGAGAGCTTCCATAGGTCAAGATAAAGAGAAGAACTATTGAGTTGATGGAGATTCCCTATTATGGGAAGGCCTTTTGGACCTGGTGGAAGGTTAATAGGATTGTGTTTATGGAAGAAGAATAATAGTAAAAGGGGAAGAAAACTTAGAATGAGAACCAGAGAGAGTGATGATAATACCATTTTGGTGGTTCTGCTGATCTCACTCAAGTGTCAAGTAATTTGTGAATTGTTCTCTCTCTCCATACACACGCATTTATAGGGTGGTTCACCGATTTTTAATCTAATTACAATGTTTTTCTTCGGGTCACCTTTTAATAAGGGGTATAGGAATGAGTTCTAGATGGTTGAATGCAGGAATATTATAATTTAGGGTTAATATAATTTTTTGTCCCTGAACTTGGGGTCTATTTTGATTTTAATTCTTCAAATTTCAAACTCATAGTTTTGGTCATTCCTAAAATTTAACTTGTCTTAAAATGTTAGTTCTCAGAAGTGTAATGGTGTTAAAATCTACCAATGTTATAAATAGTGTTATAGTGATAATTTAAACTCACCAAACAACATCTAGCTAGCTTTTGTATGGATAAGAGAAGGGGAAAAAAAAGAAGAAATATTAGAATTTATGTTTTGATGATAATAAATGCATTTTCTAAATTTATAATTTCTAGCAAAACCAAAACTATGGTGCAGAAACCTTTCTTATCAGTTTTTTCTATTACATATTCAACAATTGTTCTTCTCAAATTTATATTCGAGAAGTTTTTAATGTTTTGTTAAACTACTTTTCTTTGAATATCTTTCTCTAATACATAACCAAGAATTGCACTTCTTGAATACTTATTGAAGAAACTTGCTTTGCTTTTACTAAACATCACCTTATCAGAAAAACTCATGAATCCTTGAATAGTTTTCTCAAATACATATTTAAGAATTGGTATTGTCAAATAAATATTTAAGAATTGGTTTTCTCGAATACATATTCAAAAATTATTCTTTTCGAACACATATTCAAGAAGTTTTCTATGTTTTGCTAAGCTACTCTAAACAGTTTTCTTAACTACATATTCAAGAAACTCTTTCTATCAACTAAAGATTCCTTACCAAAACATCAATAAAATGTGTTTACAAGAACTTTATTGAAAATATGCTCAAGGATTTAAATAGAAAGTTTTAGGGATAAAAGAACTTTCTCAATAATACATTCAAGGAAATAACTTTTCCTTAAATGTCTCATCCCATAAAATTTCTTGGATATGTTTTCAAGAAAACCATCTCTCAAAAAACATCCTGAGTATTCTTGACCTTTTTGAAGATGAACTTATTTGATTTCATTTTACTTCTCGCTTACAATTGTTATATAACTATCTCTCACTTTTTTCTTTGAGTATCTTAAGTTCACAAATAATACAAGTAAAGACATTTTAAAAGATGATTGAAGGTTAAAAACTTTAACGACAAAATGATGTTGAAAAAGAAAAAGGCTTTGATAGCATTAAATGATAACTCAATCTTCACAAGCCACCTGCTCCTACAATGATAACTTCGTCTCAACTCTAACAGATAGTTATTGAAACTCAACTATGAATAGACAAAGCATTCAATGGAGTAACAGGAGAAGAGAACGAACAATTATGCTCTCAAATCTATGGCTTATTGCTCTGTTTCATTAAGTTCGTCAATTGGGCTTTAGTATTCATTTATTACTCTCTAAGAGAAATAGATTTAAACATTCGTTACTCATTTTGTGAGTAGCTCAAGATTGTGGGAACCTTGAGTGGGTTGTAACCTTCTGAGAAATAAGAGGAAGCGATTAAAAGTGATCAATTGTTGTAAAAGTCCGTTACAAATTTTGGATTATAGTGAAACACTCAGAGGCTCTGAGAACTAGATGTAAGTAATTGAGGCCAAACTAGTATAAACTGGTGTGTGCTTGTTTGATTCTCTTCTTTCTCTTTTGGTGATATTCCTACTACTCAATCTCTTTTCATTTAAGTTAGAAATTTTATTACACGATCATCCCCGTTTTGGGTGTACTACCATAGTAACAAGAACAAGTTCTCGAAATGTGGCCCTCTAGGGTCCTTTTTGTTTTTTCACCTCACCATGCAATTTCAGGAGTTGTTCACTACATTGCATTTTGTTATCTATATAAGATGAAGTTAGTTGTTATCTGGTGAGTCCACATCGTCACTTTTAATGTTATTGATAACACTTTAGCAAATTTTAACACCATTCCATCATTAGATATTAACATTTTATGATAGACTAAATTCTAGATATTAAAATCATGGGTTGCAAATTTTAAGGGACCAAAACGAAAATAGTTTTAAATTTCAAGGACTAATTTATAATTTATGTCATTTGTTGTGAAAAATGACCATTCCTCCAATTCTAAATAAAGGAACTAAATAACTAATTTTAAAATATTGTGAAAATTAGTTAAGATAGTGATTTATTAAAAAAAAATATATGCTGGTTTTCTTAAAATAATTAAAATCATTTACATTAAACTACCTTCATTGATGGAACCCTTTCTAATATTGAAATTTTAGGGGAAAATCACAAATTTGGGATATAAAGTGAATTGGAGTCCTTTATTTAAGGCCAAAATAAATCCTTAACTAGGTAGCAAAGAAGGTATACAAATACAATGGAACATTGATGATCTCTTTGTCACTAAAGCACTCAATTAATTCTAGGACCAACTACAAATGCAATATAATGACAAGCTAGGTCATTCTCCCAAGGAGCAATTTATGGGTTTTCTTTAGATATGAATTTAAGTGATTAAAAATCCAATAGAATGAACCTAAACTAAAATGCAAAACATTAAATCTAAATACAATAAAAATATTCAATATTCAAATGCCCTAAAATATATTTGAAAGTGAAACTAAACTAAAGGAACGCAAATGTAATTTTTGGGAGGATTTTTTAAAAGGAAATTTAAACTGCTCGATCAAGGAGATTAAGTAAATAGCAAGGAAAAATAATAAAACAAAAACAAGAGGTTCTTTTTAGATTCGGTAAAGGGAAAAACTCAGAATTTGCATTGAGTTAATTTGTATAATTCAAATTAATTAATTATACAAAAGAGAAGTGATAAAAGAGTAGAATTAGTAAGTTTAATTATCTACTTAAAATATGAGAAACCCTGAGAACCAAAAGCAATAAAATCATTAGCAAACTCATAATGATATAAAGCCAGTTAATTAAACCCATTAAAACTAATAACAATAAGTCAAATTGATTTTGAAAATTATGCTTAGAATTATCTAATTAAACAATCAGATAATTTACCAACTTAATTGAACAAGTAAGAGGCCAAAAATCCAAATTTGCAATATAAGCCATAATGATAATTAAATCAATAATGAAAACTTAATTATAAATTTAATTAACAATGCAAGGTTTATAAACATAAAATCCAACAAAATGTCAAGCACAAATATAATCCAAATATCAATCTAATTCAAGAATAAGAATAGTGACAATCTAAAACAAAATTGCCTAAAGAAAATACAACTCAAAATTATTTAAAAACTAAATAATCCCAAGCTTTTGAACTAAAAAGATAAATAGAATAACTCATTTGTGGTGTTCGAGTACTAACCCAAGGCTCTAGCTTCCTTCATACTCCTCCCAAATTGTTTCCGAAACAAGCTCAAACTCCTATGGATGGCGTGAAATTGATGAAAAAAAGAGGATAGGCGATAAGTGAATAAATAGAATGAAAATTAATAAGAGGAGAGGGAGTTGGCCACCCTCGCGTCTCTTGAGGGAGTGCTTCTTTTTATAGGAGCAAGAAGGGACTTTTAGGTGTAAGATTTGAGCCTATTAGCAATGAGTTAGCCCATTTAAACTTAGGCATTCAATTGTTTTTTGAGTTTTAAGAAATTATTCTACACCAATGGATTTTCTATTTTCCTCTTCCTTGGTATACAAGAATTAAATTATATTCATTAATGTAGATTATATTTAAATATAATATACTTCATATCAAAACTTAAATATTATATATACACAAAAATAAGGTAAGGAACTGTAAAACTTTTCAAAAATCAAACTTCCTACATTGAACCAATTTAAACAACCAAACTATCATAAACCATTCAATTTTATTCCAAAAACTAAAAAGAATATCGTTTGAAAACATAACAATCAAATCCAACAATAAAATAACAAAAATATTCAATATTAGTTCAACTAAACCTAATCAACAATCAATAGTAAACCTATTTACCCTAATTCAACTAAACCCTAATCCAACAATCAATACTATGTTAAACTAAATGGTGATTGCTTGAGCCCACGAAGTTAGTGGTAAGTGGTAACCATATGCATGTGAGTTGACAATTAAAAAGCGTTGAATTATATTCCTTCTAATTGATTAGTCGTAACATTTGGTCTAGTAATAAATACTTATGTAGATATAAAACTCCTTTATTACTAACTTTGTTTATTAATTATACGCATATAGTTCAAAGTTTTGAGGGTTATATATAACATAAGGTTTATAAGGAGGATTATATGCATGTTAACAGTAAGCTGCTTTAGTGGTAGTACTTTCTTTTTTTGATTATGAGTGGTAGTACTTTCACCAGGCTTAAATGAGATCCTAAACTCAAATCTGGAGTTAAAATGCACATATGGATATATGTTTAAATTGTATTTAAAAAATATTTATAGCATACTACTTTCAGTGCTTAATATAAGACGTAGTAGTTGATTAATTTGGAAAGATTAAGAAAATTAGTTAAATTAGTTATTTTTAATAAATAGGTATTGTCTTTCCTAAAATACCCTTACTAATCATGTGTATTAGTTAAAACTACTATATAATAGAACTTTTAACACATGCAACTATTACAAGGACTATTTTTTTTAAAAAAAATAGATAAATATGAAAGAGAAAGTGGAGTAGAGTCTTATATTTAAGACCAAATAAAAAGTTAAACTAGTTCTTATATTAATAACTAGAGGTAACATATAATCGATGGTTAGTAGTTATATTCGTGCACACTTAAAAATTCATGGGTACTGTTAAGTTTTTAAAAATGAAAAGGGTTATTTGTACGCAGTTTAAATTCTGAAGAATTTTGTGTAATTTTTAACATTTTTTCCATACAAAAGCATCTGAAAGTTTAGATGCGTATACGTATATTTAATTTGTGTCTAAAAAGTCAGCTGGTATTTAAGATAGTTTTTTTTTCATAATT